TATAATTATTTATTCCAAAATTATAACATAACAGTAATATGTATGTATACATAATATAAAAACGTCAATGCTACCCCAATGGATAATCTATCTATCTATCTATCTATCTATCTATCTATGGATGTGTGTGTGCGTTTGCGCGCGAGCTTGTGTGTTTGTGTGTGTGCTTTGCATGTGTGCAAGTCAGGAAATATTAGTAAATCCGTAATCTGACGCATGGATTTGTTAAACTTTATCCGATTTATACCAGTGTAACATTCGGTCTTTGTAATCAAATGAGACGATTGGTATTAAGTGCATTAACAAGGAAAGATAACATGTTGAAAAATAAATGCTTTTTTATTCTTCATTAGACTACGGGTTTATTGATGTAAATAAATTTATTGATTTATTGATATTTCTCATTAGGCTGCTTATTTATTGACGCAACTACGTATTTCTGCACAACATATAGATAATTATCGATATTTGCGCGCACATTAATATATATACGCTTATGTATATATGTGTGCGTGCTCGCACGCGCGCAGTTGTGTAAGGATGGAGCCTGATTTTGAAATTTTTATTTACATATAATTATAGGTATATTTCGTGTGCACTGATTAAAATTAATGGCTGTTCGCTGCACGTCGAAATTCGAAAAATCTAATTTCATTTCGACTTTTCATTCAGTTATTCAGAGGTGATCACCATTTATTCAGGTGAGACGTGAAAGGAAAAAAAAATAATAGAAATGTATGAATAACCTTGGAGATTCATTTGCAAATTACCCAGCGAAACAAACCATGAAATCAACTGCACAGTTTGACTGACTTCAAACAAAATAAGCCATGGAACCGTGTTTTTTACGAGCAAAAAACATTTAAGTATTTATATATATATATATATATATATATATATATATATATATATATATATATATAGATAGATAGATATAGATATATGCAATCGACACCATCACTTGACAAGACACCAGTAGTTTTCAAACAAAATGGCTATTTCTGTAGTGATGTTGGAACATGCTCATGTTATAATTTTTAAATATATATATATATATATATATATATATATATATATGGATTAGTTGTATGAATATGATTTTGTAACCATGCGTTTCACGCTATTGAGATCTTCAGAAAGACTGGTTTATTTTTTAACTCATATCTTAGCCCTATCACTGATATTGAGCATTTTCCAATAATACTGCACGTATTATATATATATATATATATATATATATATATATATATTATGAAATGGACAAAGTCCAATAATTATTTTAAGACATTTTTATGCTTATACATTATTTTTTTATAGATACAAATATTTAAGTAAAAGCTCTGTTTAGAATAAACATTATTAACAACATTTACCGCCCTGAATCTCCGAGAAATTGTCATAGAAAATATGCGTCCTCCGATAGGAATCGAACCTGTATCCTATATGTCTTAAAACAGTTGTCGAAATTTGTCCATTTCAGAACGAGTGACGTCATTTGTTTACATTTGGATACGACATAAGCAGATATGAATGTACGTGAGAAAATCATAGAAAATTGTAGTTTAAAAACAGTAAAATCGACCTTGTTAAGCGAAACGCTTCTCTATGGCGAAAAATCAGGTCAGTCTATATGACGGTTTCGTGTAGTATACGGTTTCGATTCCTGTCGGAGGACGTATATATTCTACGACAATTTCAAATTCTCGGTACGGGTGCTTTAAAAAGCAATCTAAATTCAGCATTTACTCCTAAGGTGTTCCTTTCTCAGGCCATGCACATTTTCCAGCGACATTTCCATTGATGGAAGCATTCTTGGAATTCCTCTTTTGGGATAGTGAGCAGCAGCCTGGTTGCATTCACTTGGCTTTTCTTGACGTCTTGAAACCTTATTCCTTTCCAGTGGAATTTCAATTTTGAAGAGGAAAACGTGACAAGTGGTGGTTGTCGGATATGGGAAATGTTGTGCTTGGCTCAAACCTGCTGCACTGATGAAACCTTTGTGGTGTGGTGAGGCGACCACACTCTACACACTTTCCTTCCAGTCGCTGCTATAAACAACGGCAACGAGCGAGAATGTTATAACTTAGTGCGCGACCGAATCCACTCCATTACCGTAGCAAAATTCCTGATACTTTTTGATCAGAATTCACACACACAAATATATATATATATATATATATATATATATATATATATATATATATATATATATACTTATTACTACGTTACTTTGTGGATAAGAATATTTGATTTCATTAAACAGTGTGAATTACGTCTACCGGCTTGTGCATTCGAGAAACTTATTAAAAAGAATGTGCTCTCTCTCAGGTCTCGAATTTGCGTTCCTTTTGTTGGATAAACCACTGTCACATGCAGCGTGCATTAGAACCGCTCCGTCAGAGAATGTCGCAATGCAGTGGTCTAAATACGTCTACTCAAACACGATGGTCCACAAAATAAAGTTAAAAAAAATATAAAAAATAATTTTTTCTAAATTTAAAATTCCCGTACGAATACGAATATAGTCACATCAACATAAACGAACAACGTAAACAACTTCCATATCTATCTATCTATCTATCTATCTATCTATCTATCTATATATATATATATATATATATAAAAGGCTCAACCACTAATATTCCATGGTTATAATTTATTACATTGGAATCATAATCACGAACGAATTTATCAGACCTACAAACTCTTTTTGAATACTGATGAATTGGATCGTGATTGCGATTCCAGTGTAATAAATTATAACCATGGAATATTAGTGTTTGAGCCTTTTATATTATATTCTTGCTTTGTCCTGGACAATGAGTTCTACCTGGATTCTATCCTCTTGGAAATTTACATATACTATTAATATATATATATATATATATATATATGAAGAAATATACTCTTATGGTGTGCTATATTTATCGGATAAAGTGCTCAATATCAGAGGTAGAGCGTGTGAAAATATAAAAGTGAATGTTGAAGTCAACTCTTAGAGGCGACAGGCTGTTTCATGCTAGCGCTGACGATTGCGTCTAGCAAGAAACAGCCTGTCGCCTCTAAGTGTTGACTTCAACGTTCACTTTTTATATATATATATATATATATATATATATATATATATATATAATACGTAACTCCACCAACATTGCATTAAACAAATATATTTTTAAAATTCAATTTACGTAAGGGTCAGGTCATACTCATCACCTGAAAATTGCGTTTTACATGAAACTCTGAGTCATACGACCGATGAGACATAATATATATATATATATATATATATATATATAAACTTCTCTCTGTTAAATTTTAATCCACCACTTTCTCTCGTCGGTTACCCCTCTCTATAGCTCTAACATTCGTCCCACACTCTTATACTTACTCTCTCTAAATTTTATTGTTTATTTCCGGAGTTGTTTTTTTTGTTTTCTTTTTGAATTTGTAGGTCTGATGAATTGGATCGTATTTACGATTCCAATGGAATAAATTATGGCCATGGAATATTAGTGTTTAAGCCTTTTTATTATATATATATATATATATATATATATGTGTGTGTGTGTGTGTGTGTGTGTGTGTGTGTGTGTGTGTGTCTGTGAGTGCGTGTGTCTGTGTGTGTGTGTGTGTGTGTGTGTAATATATACTAAGTTTAACTGACAGAAATATATACTTATCATGTCCAGAGAAGGTTGAAAATACTCGAGCAAAAACGTCATGACTTTTCCATTAATTTTCTTTCATTAATTAAATACCGGTCGCCCCCACCCACCTTCACTCTGACACTATTTAGCAGTGGAGGCGGCGTGTTAAAGGTTCTCTAAAAATAGAAGTGATGCCCATGTCAACCGGTCGCGCATAACACGTGACCGCCGATAAGGGCATGCACTCCTTCGCAGATCTTCACACAGATAAACCACGACGCAGAAGACAACACATGAAACTCACCATAACAAAACAACATCTTTGATAATTGGTATAAAACTAACCGGAAACGCTATGAATAATAACATCTATGGACGATTTTACATTCTTTAACAGCCTGATAAACGAAAAAAATTTAGAATGCTGGAAAAATTCAATAAAAAATTAATTAAATCTTCCTTGTTTGATGGTTTCAATGAAAGATGCTTCAAAGAAAGGTTGCTGCCCATATATATACATACACACACACACACACACACACACACATATATATATATATATATATATATATATATATATAAATTGTCCGAATGTTCTTTTCTTCCGAGAGCTTTCGGCTATACCCATTAGCCATTTTCTAGGATGAAATATTTTAAATGTTAAATAAGAGATAGTGTGTTGCATGTATGTATTTATATAATTTTTTTTTTTCAAAACACGGTCAAGATATTGTGTCCATGTTCATAGTTGATATTACTGAGTGTTTTTTTTTATTTATGATTAAGGCTTCCATTATTTTTAACCATTTTTTAGATGATGCTATTATATTAGTGTTGTCAACAAGTATGTTAGGAATAGGGTTCAGTAGGTCTCCATGAATATTTAAATGAGATCTAAACGAGCTATAGTTAGAAAGGTGTAGAGTGAGTCTACGTGTCAAACATGTTGTAGTATGGCCTATATAATTATTTACGAATTTTGATTGGTCAGGAATACAATTCCTTAATGGGCAAATTATATATATATATATATATACATACGATTATTTAATATAATATATTTAGAGGGGAAAAGCGCTCGGATTTAATTGATTGATTCATTTTCTACGGCATTTGAGTTCATTTAAAGCCAGAAATATTTTTAGAATTTTAGGCGGGGTTTGAGTCAATGATTTAATTATACGAGTCTTACTAATTAACCCATAGCTGGGAGAAGAAAAGGTGTATTCACACCTCCCTCCCCACAATGGTATTTGGGTCTAAGTGAATATAAAGATCCCAACTGCAATTAGAACTCGGCTCTTTAATTAACAAGTCCAAGCCATTATCTATTACTCCCTCCGCACATCCAAGCTTACGCCATCTGGTATTTCCAAACGGTCACCCATCTAGGTACTGACCAGGTTCGATATGGCTTAACTTCGGTGATCGTGCAGGATCCGGTGTGTCAACGCGATGTTGCTGTAGGCCGTCAATCGAAGGAATCAACAGTCAGTTTCACGCTTCTCTCTATGTCCACACACTGTATATCGATATATCTATCCATATATCAATCTATCAATATCTATCCATATATCTATCCACACATCACAACACACACACACACACACACACACACACACACACACACACACACATATATATATATATATATATATATATATATATATATATATATATATATATATATATATATGCGAAACGGTACTGTATGCGAATGACATAATTAAGCTCTTGGTAATATATTTCAAATGAGCACTCTTGAGAAGCACCCTAATTCTACAAACAGCAGCCGCCTACGCTAAAACGCAAAGCTCTTCGGTAAAATGAATACGAGCACTCTGGGTGACTGGCGTGTGTTTACATTCATTAAAGCAATACATTAGAATTAGCAGTTGTCTCTCCGCCTAGTGCTGGTGGCATAGGGTTAGAAATTCCGCCTGATAACACATCGGTCGGTTTTCGATCCTGGCTTGATGCTTTTGGACGTCTCGTCTCACTGAGGAACTGCGAAACAGTACTGCTTGCGAATGACACACACACACGCTTATATATATATATATACAAAACCTGTCTAAATTATTCAATGGAACATGTATCAATAAAGACATGCTACCAAAATATACGTAATATATTTATTCGAAAATTTTAACATGAACATGTTATAAAATCACTAAAAAAATAGACATTTTGTTTCAACGCTTCTGGTGTCTTAACAAGTGATGATGTTGAATGTAGAATAAAGGGTTTCCGAATAAATAATTACATTTTCTCTACTCTGTATTGAGAACTATATATATATATATATATATATATATATATATATATATAGCCTGGCGATTGCATATAGTATGAAACATACTGTCGCCTCTAAGTGTTGACTTCACACGCTCTATCTCTGATATTGAGCACTTTATCCCATAAATATAGCACACCATAAGACTATATTTCTTTATATATATATACATTGCATATATTTTGGTAGCATTTTGTTGTTGAGACATCTTTCATTGAATAATTTAGAAAAATTTTGTCTACTTATTTTCAATTGGATCTGTTGTAACCGAGAAAAGGTTACTGAATGAGCAATAACCAAAATGGAGGTTGGAACTGAAATGGTAATCTTTATCTTTATAACATCAACAAAATACAATACTCGCTAGCGGCGTGAAGTAGGTAAACAGCACTGCTTGTCCGTGAATAAGAACAGATCCAATTGAAAAGTAGTAGACAAAACTAATTCATCTTTATTGAATGAAACATCTCTCTCTCCCCCTCTCTCTCTCTCTCTTTCTCTATCTATCTATCTATCTATCTATCTATCTATCTATCTATATATATATATATATATATATATATATATATGTATATTTATATATGCATGATTCGGCATATTAACTTTCTTAAAATGAAAATAGAGTTGTTTCCTTCTCTCAAAAGCTGGTAGCAATAATGAAAAATGCACCAAATTTTAACAATTTAAAAGAAGTGCAATCTGTTCAGTTTAGAATTGAACCGTTGCAGAATCTTATGATTTGAAGTTGCTGACCATTTTGCGCAGAACCAGTGAAACATTTCGTTAAAAAGGAAAACATTTAGATTATTCACTGTGTCCCAGCAAGTCTGTAAAAATATCGACATGTCTAAATTCAGAGTTTTCCTTCTCCTAAACTGGTTGCCAATCAAGAATATAAAGACTTTGCTATTAACACATAGCTAGAGGAAAATGCTTGCCTTTTTCAAGGGGATTAGCGAAATGCAAACGAAATTATATCGACTAGAATTTTAAGTCGGCTTGATTAAACTACGTTCGGATTTCATATATACCGGGTGTCCCAAAAGACAGTATACAGTGTTAATAAAATCCTAAAACATGGCACAAGAAACTAAGCTTGTTCATATTTTTAGCACCATTAAAGAAGCCATTGTTGTTTTACTTGCTAGACTTGCCATCACGTCCTCACGTCTTGAAGACAAGCTGTATACCTCCAGATGAGCGCCATCATTTTCGGCAACCTTCAGCCACCTTCGGACACAGGCCGCTCCAACGTTTTACACCATCACTTCACCGACTTTGCTGCCGGCCGTGCGGATTCACTCATAAAACTGTGATAGGTCACGTGGCTTAGTTGCATACACCTTGCTTATTTAAAAAAAAAAAAATAGCTCGACAAAAAATAGTCATAAGGTGTGAGGTCAGGAGCCCTTTCGAGGGGACCCCTTCGACCGATCTAAGGAGACTTGATGTTCAGGAAAGCCCTCACTAACCTGGCAAAGTAGGGAGGGGTTACGTCTTGTTAAAAAAAAACATATTGACATGGTCACTCCTTGCTTGAAGTTCTGGCACAGCAAACTCCTGCAGCATCTTCAGGTAATTTTCCCCAATGATCGTTTAGCATTTGGTTGTTTAGTTTTATGGCATATCAAAACCTCAGTGGGTCAGTTAATGCCAACAACATTTTTGGAATAGATTCATAGCGTTAGTTTGGTAAAAAAGGTGTATATATATATATATATATATATATATATATATATATATATATATATATATAGTCTTAAAATGTGCTATATTTATGGGATAGAGTGCTCAATATCAAAGATAGAGCGTGTACAAATATAAAAGAGAACATAGAAGTCAACACTTAGAAGGGACAGTCTATCTCATGCGAGATGCAATCGTCAGGCTACAATCGTCATGGCCTGACGATTGCATCTAACATGAAAACAGACTGTCGCCTCTAAAATGTTGACTTCTATGTTCACTTTATATATATATATATATATATATATATATATATATATATTTGAACCATTTTTCAGTTACTCATATTTTTGAGTACAATCACATGTATTAATGGTAATATTTTTTTTTCAAAAATGTATTGCTGGTAATATTTTTTCAAAAATACATTGCTGGGTAATATATTTTTTCTTCAAAAAATTATTTCTGCTAATTTCGGGTTAACTATTTGCCCATAGCTGGGGCCCTAACAGGTGCTACCACCCCGGGTCAGGGTGGACCTGGGGACACTAGCAATTAAGATGTGGTTACACGCTCCTCAAAATCTCCTTATCAGAAGCCTTGCTGTTGGACGTAGTTTATCGTCTTACCCTGGACGCGGATGTAGTTTATTGCCATATCCTGGACGCCCGGTGATCGTGTTATCGGATGCATTGCTGAAGAAAGATGAGCCTTGTACTGTACATGTCACACCAAATCGCCAGTTTCGGAGATTCCCTTTCATGTTCGAGAATTTCGACAGGCTGTTTACCTGACCAAAAAGACGAAAGATACACTCGTCGCTGAACCTTAAGTTTTCCAACATCTGGCGGTTGTTTTCGGAACGGCAGAGGAGGGATTCACACAATTCCACAGGAGCATCATAATCTTCCGCTTGAAGTACGGGTAGAGATATACCACTTTCCGAAGCATGCGCAGAATAGTTCCGTTGTTGATACTGAGTTGCAGTGCGGTCCACCGGATGGGCTTTCCCTGGCTTTAAGGCAACACCTACTGCAGGAGTTCGGTGTTTTCATCAGTGGATGTAGTAGCAGGCCTTCCGCTAAGGGGTTTGTCAAGAACCGATCCTGTTTCGAGAAACTTACTATGTATAGCATAAATTGTGCTCCACATTGGTGCACTGTGATGAACATGATGCTTCTAAAACTCGCGCAGAACAGCAGTCGGAGACCGAAAAACTTTTTACTAGCCGGCAATTTTGCAACACTGTTCAAACGTCAATCGACGAGTCATGGGCAAGGGTATGATACATTTATAAAAACTGCAAAACATAAGCTGTCAAATGCTGATAGTCTCATAACATAACATATATATATATATATATATATATATATATATATATATATATATATATATATTTATATATATGTCAAGAAGATAATGTAAGGTAGTTTGAAAAAAATGCTAATTTGTCGACTAACCCAGCTTTTATAGATTCTTCCAGGATATTTTAGACATTCTCCTAATAATTCCTTCATAAAAAATAGTATAATTTTGAGCCTGTTTCGTAGGATTTTTTTTTATTTTGAAGCAGCGATTTTTGAACTCAGTTTTTATAAATTTTTTCTATCTATCTATTTATCTAGCTAGATAGCTAGCTATGAGTATGTATGTATACACTGCTAAATTAAATAATTGTTTATATGGATATATATAGGTACATACCAATTGCTTTTTCTCGTTCTCTTCATATATATATATATATATATATTTGGTTGGATAGATGTGTTTGTGACCCTGGGTTTCACGCTTTAGCGATCGTCAGACTCTGATATTGAGCGCTTTCTAATAAGTACCATGCATATAATATATAAATAATTATACATATATATATTTATTTATTTATATTTTTCACACACACACACACACACACACACACACACACATATATATATATATATATATATATATATATATATATATATACTTATCATTTTCACTACAATAGAAGAGCTGACCCTTCCTGAGGACTTGTTGGCATAGGATTTGAATTAAGAATTATTCTTCCCCAGAACTGGCAGTTCTCCGAAAAACATAAATACACACACACACACACACACACACACACACACACACACACACACATATATATATATATATATATATATATATATATATATATATATATATATATATATATGTACTATTATATACATATATATGTGTACTATTATATATATATATATATATATATATATATATATATATATATATATATATATATATAGATAGAATATATAGAATAGTATATTTTGGCAGCTATTTCGAATTTATTATCTTTTTGACTAAAGACCAACCATATTTCTTTCGTTTTTATTTTTTCTTCGGATCGGAATATTTCCCTGGTTTCCAGGGTTGATTTGAACATAAATTTGTCGTATTTTTTAGGCTTTAATAAGCCATTGTCAAAGAATTTTGGCTGCTTAATAAGAT